TTCCAATTCTATAACAATGACACTACAACTCTTTCTATCATATCGCAGGGAACCTATCTCTTATCCGCAACTCCTCCTAAACCACTGAATAAAATTAAATTATACTCATAAAATAATGCCATTGTGCACCTCGTATCTTACTTTTTGATACGACACTTATTTCGGGTCTCCCAGAGCAAAAATGAACTTTGCCATTATAATCATATGGGAAGTGGGGGGTATCATTTATTGAGCTCAGTGCTCACAGTACCTCTAGTTATTTTTAAATTGTATTTTAAGGACGCCCCAAATATCGTAGGAAATATAAAGGACATTTCTCTCAATTGAAATCATGCAAATAAATAAATGCACGATTTGCTATTGTTGATCTGTTTTAATATCCTACATGTAGTTTCAAATGCAAGGAAATGGCATATACTAGTATGTCCTGCTTAAGTTTTAATTTCATTTTCATCTCAAAATGTGACATTTTAAAAAACACATAAACTTAAACAAAAAGAATCTTCACGAATTCAAATCATCAAGTAAACGAAACTAAGGGTGTAATTAAATGTTAAGTCTAAATTGTAATTCTTTTAAAAAAATCCACATTTCCACTATAGTGAATAAATTTAGGCATAAATGTAATCCTGTTTAAATGTTTTGAACACGATGTATATTGTTGCATATCTTTGAAAGTTCCAGAATTAGCTATTTTATTTTTTATAACATGCCGTAATCTTGTTTACAAATAACAACCGAAAAAGGCCGCTGTTTATCAAAAATTACTACTGCGTTTATTTTGATATTTAGTTTACTGTACGTGAAAAAAAATAAACGCGCATATCTAGATTGATGGTTAAAAACTGAATTTTTCTGCAATTCGAATTTGTAATCTAACTATTATCTTTAAATGTGTACGTCTTAGATATGGACATTATTTCTAAACACTGTTTCTTTTTGTGTGTTTAAGGCAAAGACTATGGATCATCCAAACAGTTAAAATTCTTTTCCCTATATACATCATTGCATGTAATATTTGAGTTTTTTATTGACACATATTACAAGTATGCGTTGAATCCTGCATTGTTAATATTATGCAAATGTGATTTAGAATGTCAGAATGATCAGACCACAATATTAAATCATGACTGTCTTGATTTTAGAGTCGACTTAATACATTCGATTTAAGATTCTATATAGCCGTGTGTGTGTTCTTAAACTGATTGTATATTACATGTGCTTTTTCCCAAAACAACTCTATAAATTTTCAAATCAATTTTACACAATATGCGTGTAAACTTACTCTTTTGGTAAAATAGACCTGCATTTAACTATTATGAAAGTAGAGGTACTGTGAGCACTGAGCTTGCTAAATGATACCCCCGCTTCCCATATGATTATATTGGCACAAAGTCAACGTTTTTTCTCTACGAGACCCGAAATTAGCGTCAAATCAAAAATCAAAGTAGGAGGTCTTAATGACATTATGTAATACAGAATCTTTGAAAGTATTTAATTTTTTTAGTGTTATAGGAGGATTCGCAGATAAGAGATGGGTTCCTTTCCATATTATAAAAAGGATGGCAGTGTGTGTTTTGCTATGGGAAACCCAAAAAAGCTTACTCAATGATACCCCCGCCTCCCATATGATTATAATGGCACAAAGTCCATTTTTTGCTCTGGGAAACCCGAGATGTGTCCGATTAAAAAGTAAAATAGGAATGCACAATTGTATTACGTTATATAGAATCATTAAGTTTTATTTAGTGGTATAGGAGGAGGTTCGGATAAGAGACGGGTACCCTTAACATTATAGAAAAAAATGGCAGTGTCACACCGTGTTTGCTACGGGAAACCCAAAATATATGTCGGATAAAAAGTAAAATAGGAGGTTCACAATGACACTATTGAACAAAAATTCTGTGGAAGTCTTATTAATTTCATCTAGTGCTATAAGAGGAGTTGTTGAGTTGCTAATAAGAGATGGTAGAAGTGTAAAGCGTAACAGGCTGTTAGATTTGAACAATATAGAATATACACTACCTATGGATGCATCTAAATAAGTTTCTGATTGTTTGACCCAGTAGTTCTTGAAAAAAAGATTTTCTTCCTATAAATTTCAATGTAAATCTTGGATTCCAAATTGTGACCCTGCCTACCTTACTCCTTGGGGTCATGATTTAATCAATTAGAATCAACACTACTTTATGCAGAATGTTTCCAAAAGTTCCAGATTTTCTTTCTCAGTAGTTCTTGAGGACATTTTTGAAGATTTTTCCTATATATTTCAATATAAAACTTGAATTCCCTATTGTGGCCCCGTCCTACCCCCAGGGGCCATGATTTGAACCATTTAGAATCTACATAATCCAAGGATGCTTCCACTTAGGTTTAAACTTTTCTTGCCCAGTGGTTCTTTAGAAGACTTTTAATGACCCGCCCTTTTTGTGTTTTCTTGAGTATCTCCCCATGTCCATGCAAAGGGGATTAGCCCTCCATTTTAAAAATTTAAATTCTCCTTCATCCAAGGATGCTCTATTCTAAATTTGGTTAAAATTGGCCAAGTGGTTCTTCAGAAGAAGTTGAAAATGTGAAAAGTTTACAGATGGATGGACAGACAGCTAGACAGACGGATGACAACGAGTGATCAGAAAAGTTCACATGGGCTTTCAGTTCCTGTGATTTTAAAATTGAAATAAGATTGTGGGACATTTATTTTTTTCTATGCCCTCTAGCTATAGAGAGGAACGTACAATGATAAGTATAAGGTTTTATAAACCGTCTGTTTATACGGCTTTGGGTACCCATCTTTTATCCACAACTCCTCTTATACTATGCACTAATAGGAAATTTAAGGAGACTTTCACATTATCGAATCTTTGTTAAAAAGTGCTATTGTGCACCTCTTATGATACCCTGCTTGAAAAGTGGGAGGGTATGTAGTGATCGGGATGCATGTCCGTCTGCTACGTTTTGGAATACACATCTCTTATCCGCAACTCCTCTTAAAAAGTTATACCACTGAATGAAATCTAATGAGACTTTCACAAAATCTTTGTTACATAGTGTAAATTGAGCACATCCTATTTTGCTTTTTGATCAGACACATATTTTGGGTTTCCCAGAGTAAAACTAATATTTACTTTTTGAAATCCTATACCACTGAATGAAATTTAATGAGACTTTCACAGAATCTTTGTTACATAGTGGCATGATGATCTCCAATTTTACATGGACACGGTCCTAACAAAACACACACTGCCACTCTGTCTATAATTTTAAAGGGTACCAATCTTTTATCCGCAACTCCTCCTATACCACTGAATAAAATTTAATGATTCTTTCATAGATTCTTTATTAATATAGTGCCATTTTGCACCTTCTATTCTACTTTTTGATCTTACATTGACTTCGGGTCTCCCAGAGCAAAAGATTGACTTTGCTATTATAATTAACAAAATCTTTGTTATTTAGTGACATGATACATATACCCTTTAGCTCTAAATATCTTGATACATATACCCTTTAGCTCTTAATTTGTTTTTGTTTTTTTTTTTTTGGTCAAAATACTAATATACGCTGTATATATACACTTTATGTTAGTTTTTTAATAAAACATTTAAACAGATTTGAATGTACATGAATATATTGATTCTCTTTCCAAGATATACGACATCTGTCATACTGATACCACAACCGAGAGATTAAGTTGAGCTGCATACCTATGCATGCACCTACATTCAAAATGTGTTCTTGAATAAAATATGTTTGAAATGAAGACACACAATCATCATTTATTATTAGAGATTTCATATATATTATCTAATGTACAAGATTTAGCTATGTCTCTTTGACAGAAAATCAATAACATAAATATCTTAGTGTTTCTGTATACAAGTATTATTATAAATATTTGTTGTTTGTGGAATCTGTATATTAGACTAGCAATATTGTTTACGTTTAAATGGACAAGTTTCCAATGACTTACGTACACTAAATCCTAAAGTATAGATGACCTGAACAAAGTACCTCTCTACAGAGGCCAATAGTCGGAGGGAATCAAACCACGTGCTTTTGTTTACATCCTCCTTTCACGTGCTCTCGTTTCGATTAGAGGGGGAATTCCAAGGTTCTAGCCATCCATGCCTGTTCGGCGTGATTTCTGATAGAAAACTAAGATTGACCCGAACCGCCAAATCTTCACATGCTGAAAAACGTGCATCCGATGTAATACTGACTTGGTTTACTAATCCAAATATTCCAGCCTATTCCAGCCTTATATTTTGTTATCCTTGAGAATTCCATTATCTTTAAGTTCAACATAAGGTTTATTAAGTTTGAATGCAAAATGACATTTTTGAATTGATGTAAACTTCTACATTAAAATTTCTCTGTTTTTTTTCAAATGAAGCAAAACAAAATGCTGATTGTCTTATGTACGAAGTCCAGTTTCATCAACATGCTTAAATGTACTTGGAAATATTAAAAAATGATAATAATAAATTTAACTCATTCAACATTATCCAGATTCCAGCTACATGTACCAGTATATAAAATATACAATATCTTAATATCTGGAAATAGTAATAAATTAATAAATATCAACATTATCGATCTTAGCTACAATATCTTACTATCTGGTCGCAGTTATGCAAGTTTCCGTAACTATTTATATTTTTGCTCAAATAACATACTGTATCTTTTTTGTCAAAATTCACCTTTTGCTTCAGAAAATGATTTATTCATTGTTTACTGAAAAAAAAAATTGAAAATGTACTATGCTTATGGCGAAAGACGCAAAAAAAAAAATACACATAAACATGGTCATGTGGTCGTGTGTAAAAAAAAAAAAAGAGTACAAGTAAAGGTACGCAATTGAAAAACGTAAACAATAATTTCGGAATGTTCGTTCATGAACACAATGACCGGCGTTTGATACTAGATTGACCCAGTTGTAAACACATGGTCATGAATGACCGGGATGTCAACCAATAGGAATTATCTGCGTATAGATCCCCCCGAAGTACAATTCTTATAAAAGCCTGAAAGCACCCAGCCCTGCATCTACTTCTCATTTGACATTCGAAAGCGTTAAATAAACATTTAAAGCTGCAAATATGATGATTTCTAGGATTCGACACGAATCTGGATATTCTACAGGTGATGTTCGAGAATTTGGCTTATAGTATTGATAGTTATAGTTATTTACTCACGATGGGGTTTGGAGTTTGAGGTTTAAATGTTTCGTTGTACTCGCGCTGTCAATCCGCACTTTTCACAATTAGCAGGATTTATTTATGGTATTTTTACTTTTATTTTTTTGTTTTAGATGGCTCTGATAGTGGAAGTGATTTCTTTCTGCCAGATAGCCTGGAGGAAAAACTCCAAACCACAGAGGTATTGTACACAGAATTTCTAACGTCCTTGAAAGCATGGTTTTGTTTGTAAACAATGTCACGTGGTATTGTTTCTTCCGGTGCTCTTCGGTTAACATAATATGGGTTGGAATGGGAATGATTTGTAGGCATTTACAAAAAGTGTTGCTTTCAAATCGTTTAAAGAAACGGTCTAATCTTGCTTATTTTTCTTGTTCATATGGAAAATATTCCAAGGTTAAATAATATTCGATTACATTACATGTATACATAAATCGTGTAAATTTCTAGATGTTTTATACGTTTCATCACAAAATTGATATCGTTAATTAATATTTCTTGACAGCCAGACTTTGGAATCCTGTTTGACGTTGACGGTGTGTTAGCACGAGGAACAAACCCCCTGGACCCCGCCGTGAAGGCCCTAAAACTCTTACAGGATGAGGAGGGAAACCTTAAAGTCCCTGTGGCCTTCGTCACCAACGCCTGTAACAGGAGCGAGGACAAAGCCAGACAAATCAGCAAATGGTTCAACATGCAGGTAAGCTCAACATGCCTTTACGATTGTTACCAATGGAGAAGATGCCTTGTTGTATTGTTAAAAGTATGTTAATTAATATTAATAATTGGTTACATATATATATATATATATATAGCCAATAGGTAGGTAAGCTGACCGTGTCTATATGTACATGTATTTTACGTATTTTTAGGTCTCACCAGATATGGTTATCCACGCCCCAACCCCCGCCAAACTTCTGACAGAGTTTCACGACAAACACGTGCTGGTGATTGGTCAAGAACATCGCAGAGATATTGCTCTAGAGTATCCTTTATGCTGGCAAAATATTACTTTTTCACAATTACTGATTTAAATTTATAGGAAACATATATAGGCCTATACCTGTATACGAAAAAGTAAACATTGAGTCGAAATGAAATTATGTTCCCTTCCCAAATTTAACAGAAACTGCTTACATGTATATCGGTAAGATTTGCAATACGTTCTGAAATGATGAAAATCTTGCAATTTTTGTAGAAAAGGGGTTTTTATTTAGTGAAATATTAAATTTATTTATTTTGTTTTGTGTTTGCTATTTTTGCTAAGTTTTGGGGGAACGGATGAACTTATATTAAGTCGATTCAAAATAATTTGGTGCAAGTTTCTTTAACTAGAAAAGTATCGGTTTTAAGAAGGTTTGTACAATTGAAGATATACAGAAGGCTTACCCATTTCTGGATATGGTGGACCATGACAACAGGAAACGTGTGGTAAGAAAAATAAACCATTGATATACTTCTAATTCTAAGTGGTATATTTTTATTGCTTCATGAATGGTGATCTTTAAGAACTGGAATAAAATTTTGCATTAATTGTTATTAGGCAAACGGAAGCTACAGGGACGATTTGTCTTTCCCACCTGTGGAGGCCATTTTGATGATTGGCGAGCCTAAGCTGTGGGAATCTAACCTCCAGTTACTGATAGACCTACTCCTGACAGAGGGAAAACCCACCAAGGCGCCGTCCTCCATAATGGGTGTAAGACAGCTCCCAATCATCGCCTGCAACATGGATCTGGTGTTCATGGACCGTGCTTGTATGCCACGATTTGGTCACGGATCATTTCTTCTCTGTCTAGAAAGTCTATATAAGGTAAAATAAGGTTTGGTGACATTCAATTACTAAAAAAAAAATACCTACATGTACACTTAAACATGTTAAAATTGCCTAAGAATGACATTTTTACCTCCAGAAAATCACGGGGCGAGAATTGGATTACACAGCCTTAATAGGAAAACCATGTGAAATCACATACAGATATGCTGAGCACTGTATTGCGGACGTCGCCCAGAAACTGGGAATCCAGAATCCAATAAAAAAGCTGTACTTCATTGGGTAAGATCTCTCGAAAGATTATGTCTCATTCTTGCTCTGAAACCTTCTTAATGTAATTTTCTTTGTACTTATCAAAATTTATTTTCAAAAAATGAATAAATGAATATATTTTCCTTATTGTTGAACTGTTCGCATTCTTGTTTTTTTAAAATATCTTTTTGCACTGCCATCATTCGATTGATTTATTTATCTAGTGACAATCCTTCCGTCGATATCGTTGGGGCCAACCTGTATCACCGGTTTCTTCGGAGACAATCAGAATGTATCGATAATGAAGAAATTATGAATCATTTACCTCGGTCCAGGTCTATACCAAACAACAACGCCCTCTATCAACAGACAGTGCTGGCGATGGAGAGCCTCCTAGTGGGCACCGGGGTATATAAACCGGAAGAGGACGATTCTTCTGATGATGACGTAGATGTGTATCATGGACATCGTGATATTGAAAATGAACCAGAACTCGCCAAACCCTCCAAGTTTGTCAAAGACGTGTACCACGGCATTCAGCATATACTGGAGAAAGAAAACTTCTCAGTGAACACATGAAGTTTCCTTCAACCCTAATCAGGGTGAGACTGTGATCTGAATGTATGTTTGTACAAATGTAAAATCAAAGACAAACTTGGGCAATTATAGATTGATATTTTCGCCATTAATTTATTTACTTTTCTATTTTTATAATTCATGGAGACAATCATGTCTATAAATAATTTATTTGATGTGTTTCATGTTCTCACGTGTATCTGGTCTCATTATTTTATACATTTATATATATATGACTATGGGTTTGTTTATGTATTAAGAGTTATATACATTTTATTGTCAAGGGTAAAAAGCGTTGTTAACAACTTTATATGTTAAAAAAAACATTGAATATTTTTGCATGATGTGTGACTATTTCTAGTTTTATATTAAATTATATTTAATATCAATGCAATTACACGTAGTGTATTTTAAATGATCTTTTAAAGAAGTTGTATGCTATGTTTTTTTTTAATTAAATATGCATCAAGTTTTGTCAAATATTTATGAAAATACTTTTCATTTCATTTAACTTCAATATATTATTCATTGAATATTTGATAAGTTTGTGAAGTCTTGTGAACAAATACCTGTACCTATGAGTTTATTAGAAGAGCTCCTCGTCAAGACCATCAAAAACGCACGTGTATTTGTATAGCATGTAAACACATACAAGGGTATTTGTTTGTTTAGCTTGTGATGTCCAGATCTGTAAGCAAAAATGTGCATGTATATTTGTATAGCGTGTAATATCCACCCTTGTAGACAAATACAAAAGTGTTTATTTGTTTAGCTTGTTTCTAGAAAACAAAAACAAGCAATGCGTTTGTTTAGTTAATGCGGTTCTGTAAATACTTGTTAATGAATTAGTGTATTGCAATCATGGAAGTTTGAAATAAAATTTCTTGTAATATGAAGAATAAAATCAGTGAAATAACAGAAACTTTAATTACTTTTTATTCTTGACTAAGTATTGTTCACATCGTTATGCATAAGGAAAACAAAGGAAAAGCGAAGGAGGAGTGGACATGATGAAAGATCAATGTTTTAGGCATGTTTATAGTTTATTTCACAATTTAAGGCCATGGAGTACATGAATGTATATGAGTTGAAGGGGGGAAAAGAACGAGAGGGATAGAGAAGGGTAGTGACGATAGAGAGAGATAGAGAGGATAACTGGCGAGAGAGGGAGGGGACAGGAGGAGAGAGGGAGGGGTGCATGAAGAGGAAGTAGGGGTATAGGGTGGGATTGAAGAGAGGGGATTGACAGAGGGGAGAGAAAATGTGTAGACAGGGGGAGAGAGAAGGAGAATTGGGGAGTTGGGAAATTGATAGTTTTTCGTCCCCTTCAAATTTTTTTCACTCATTCAGAGACGTCACCATATACAAGAATGAAGACATTTATGGCACTTAGGACTAAAGAGTCGTGAGGGTTTTTACGAGGGCTGTTCAATAAATAATGTCCTGAACTGTATGACATACAATACAGATATCATTTGACATTAAGCTTGACTTTTTTGCATTACTGAATCTATAATGAATTTATAACAATTTATGTGACCACTTTTCATCACTTAGTTTCATTGTGAGAAGCTGGAAAACAAGGGCTATTCGAGACACTGCATTATAAATGAATGGTAAAGAATCAGTAAACTAGAGTGAAATTAAACTCTTCATTAAAGCTGCTGTAAAACTCGTTACGAATCCCAAAGAAATATTCACTGAAATATGTAAAATTTACGGCAACAAATGTCTGTTTTATAGGCAAATGAGCAGGTGGATTTCAATGATAAAAAATCATATAATGGCCATCACAAAATGGGTTCCGTCCTTGCCAACAAAATATTATAACAACAAATAAACTGTTTGCCAAATTTCAACAAATAATCACTTATTATGTATGATTGACTTTAAGACACATAGCAGATTTGATAGACATCATATCGGGAATAGTTTACACTGTTTTAAAGAGACTTTTGACAGTAAAAAAGCTTAGTACTCAAAAGCCACCCTATATTTTGAAAAATTAGTGAAAAAGACAGCGTGTAAGATTATCTAAACAATTATTTTAAAATATCAGTAATAGTAGTTATCCACGTTTTTTTTTTCAATTCAAACAGATAATGAAACTTGAACCTATTGCTTAAAACCCTGGAAACAAAATTTACAATAAGATGTACTTGAGAAAAACAGCAAAGGTCTGAGAAGAACAAAGAATTGCAAAAGCAGAGAGAAAGATTTATATGCAATTTTCTTAAATTTTAGTGGTTTTGTTGCTCAAATTCGTATTCGGGAAGGCAGTTTAATTTCTGGAAGAGTCTAGAAAGCAATTTTTTTGCAAACAAATCGAAAGGTTAATGAGAGGAAGGAACCAGAATCAGGAATCCACTACATTAAATTTCTTCATGACAGCGTCCAAACCCGCACGCCATGAAGAGTAAAGGAGTTTTTGGGATAAACAGAAAGTTAATTTTTTTCACATTAACAATATTCGCCAGATCTGTCGACTTTTGACTTGTTTCAATTTCCAAACTTGAAAAAAACACCTTTTAGAAGAAAGAAACCGAGTCCAGGAAATCATAAGATCTGCCATTTTCCAGTATACTAGGGGTCATACCCAAAAATGAGTTCTAAAAACAATCAGATATTGGATAAAAAGATTATGGACATGTGTTTTAATTAAAAGAGAATATTAAGTTAAATCATTATTACTAAATCATTGAAAAGCGCCTTTTGCTTCTTTCCGAGCACCGAGGACATTATTTATTGAACAGCCCTCGTAACATGCCAATGGCTACCGTGACCTCGAATTTCAGGCTATCCGTGACCTGCCGAGCGCTTGGCAAATGAACATTCGAACAGTTGCTACCTATTTTTTATCGACTCATGTCATTTGCCAATCGGCAATCCTCGGCTGACTCCGCTACGCTCAGTTATGTTCGAGGTACGAGCCATCCGAGGAATTCCGAGTGGTAATTTGCGGCCAGATTCGAACACACGACCTTCCGATCAGGAAGCAAGCGCGCTAACGACTAACTACCGTGACGGTGGAGAGAGAGAGAGAGGTTTTATCAATCTGCTCAAGGTGATATCGCACTTTATTTTTTTTGGACAGTGAGCCAACTGAATAAAGGTAGGCGTTGTCAAACATTTTATTTATTAATTTATTTACAACATAGCTCTAGACAACACTTTATGTTATAAGTGTCAAGTTTGATGCTGACTGCTAAACACATTTTTCTGATATTAAATGACGTTAAATGTGAAATTTGGCAGTGGCGTCATTTGAAAATCATTTTTAATTTAAAAAACATCAGCAGAAAGAAACAACTAGCAACTTGTTTAATGAACATGAGTTAATTCTAGGTGGGAGAGATGTCCTGTGTAGTTAGCGAATTGTCATGTTGTAAATTTTGAATTTACCTGGTGGCAGTAAATACAAAATTTACAACATGACAAACAAAAAATCTTATTATATTAAGTTGAATTCACAGTATCATATATATAAGATACCTTAATGATACCATAACTATGACATGGCAAGTGAAAAAAATTAACTGCATCTATTTGATAAATAACTATAATTTTTTTAAATATTAATTTTAAATGATTATGGACTTGTAGCTATATAATGTTGAGAATGTAAATTATAATTTACGTAACGGTATGATAATCTATATTTATCAGCAAAATCTATTTACACACAGAAATAGATTAGCATTTGTATTTGAAGTTTACAACCATTATATAATTAGATTTTTTACAGAAAAACATAGTTTCATGCATATGAAACGATTCGTAAACTTTAGTTTACAATCATATACCTTATTTAAACTATGTTTTCCTATTTTGGTGAATTTTCCATTCAACTTAAACTTTTTTTTTTTTGAAGAATTTTGCAAGCAGCAATGGTCTTTTAGATATTAATTTTAAATGATTATGGACTTGTAGCTATATAATGTTGAGAATGTAAATTATAATTTACGTAACGGTATGATAATCTATATTTATCAGCAAAATCTATTTACACACAGAAATAGATTAGCATTTGTATTTGAAGTTTACAACCATTATATAATTAGATTTTTTACAGAAAAACATAGTTTCATGCATATGAAACGATTCGTAAACTTTAGTTTACAATCATATACCTTACTTAAACTATGTTTTCCTATTTTGGTGAATTTTCCATTCAACTTAAACTTTTTTTTTTGAAGAATTTTGCAAGCAGCAATGGTTTTTTAGATATTAATTTTAAATGATTATGGACTTGTAGCTATATAATGTTGAGAATGTAAATTATAATTTACGTAACGGTATGATAATCTATATTTATCAGCAAAATCTATTTACAGACAGAAATAGATTAGCATTTGTATTTGAAGTTTTACAACCATTATATAATTAGATTTTTACAGAAAAACATAGTTTCATGCATATGAAACGATTCGTAAACTTTAGTTTACAATCATATACCTTACTTAAACTATATTTTTCTATTTTGGTGAATTTTCCATTCAACTTAAACTATTTTTTTTTTTGAAGAATTTTGCAATCAGCAATGGTTTTAGTTCTACATTTAGGCCTAGTACATATACTTCATTTTTAAGTTTGATTCATATTCTACTTTATGGTTAAAATCTAGTTTAAAAGGTAGCTGTTTAGATAAAGTAAATACTTATTGCTAGTCATGGGCTGTAAACAAAGATAAAGCATACAAAAACTTGATGAATATTTATAAATTAAAGAATTTTTAAAAATATTGAATATTAGAAAACGATGACAAATCTATTTATAGCCCCCATGAATTTTTTTTTTTTTAAAAAATCAACAAAAAATACAATTCTGTAAACATGACATAAAACACAGATCGCCAGAAATTCCAAATTGGGATCAGCTGCCTCTAGGGAGAAGAACACCCTGTTGACCGTCACACCCGTCATGTACCTTATATACTGATCAAGTAGACGATGTAAAGGAAACATTCCGTAGTCTGAAGCATAATAATTGGTCTGAAAGACGTCAGCCAAAAACACGACACAATTCAAACCTGAAAACGTTAAATGCTGTTAAATCAATTCACCAAAAATGAAAAAAAAATATATAATATATGATAAATAAGTACAAGTTATAACACATAGAGCATCGAAGAAAGAGTAACGAGCCGAAATAGCTTTTTTTGATATCATTATATTATTCCAATAAATTATTTAATGATTTCTCAAAATATTTCAAGCATAAAATATTTAAAGATTGAAATTTTTTTTAAAAATCATTTTCGCCTGCGTGGCGCAGTGGTTAGAGCGTCTTCTCTAGAGTCGCAAAGTAAGGAATTGATCCTTACGTCGCGGGTTTGAATCCCACTGTGGGACATGAGAACCGGTCCTTCGGATGAGACCTTATAAACCGAGGCCCCGTCTCGCAGTAGGTGCTGCCACGAAGAAAAAGATCCCTCCCTGTTCAATGGCCGTAAGTGCCGAGCATAGGACAAAAATTTGCAGCTCTCCACCGGCAAGTGGTGACTTCTCCATGAGTAAAAAATTCTCGAGAGGGAAGTTAAACAATACATACAACAATATAATCTTTCTGATTTTATATGCAGTTTTCTAATGTTCCGTGCAGAGTTGTCTTTCTTCTCTCTCCCATATACCTCACATTAAGGGAAAAATGCTGATTCCAACGGATAAAAATGTAGATTTAGTTTAAGAACATTGTGATTGCAAATACAAGTACTCTGAAGTTGCTATCAAAAAGATGCACGAGTTTCTGATTGACAATGCCTTACCAAAGTTTTTAGTATTCATGTGAAGCAGAATTTATTCAAAATCTTATACATGAGAAGAAGAAAGACTTGCTGTGGCTTTCAACTCGACAGTTTGAAATAACGACAAAATATTATCAATTTACAATTCCTATTTCAATTCTAATGTCAATACAAATATCATATCCAGGTGAGCTTGAGATAGATACTACAGAGTTTGAAAAAGCTGCTTCATATTTGGATATTCAACTCGAGAAAAACACAGCTTTATACGGTGGTATATTTAGGACACACAATTATTTTTTTTTAAATATCAGAAAAAAATTATCTTGTGAAAACGAGATAATTATCTTGTGAAAACGAGATATTATCTTGTGAAAACGACTTATTATCTTGTGAAAACGAGATATTATCTTGTGAAAACGAGATATTATCTTGTGAAAACGAGATATTATCTTGTGAAAACGACATAATTATCTTGTGAAAACGAGTTTCACAAGATAATATCTCGTTTTCACAAGATAATAAGTCGTTTTCACAAGATAATATCTCGTTTTCACAAGATAATTATCTCGTTTTCACAAGATAATTTTTTTCTGATATTTAAAAAAAAATAATTGTGTGTCCTAAATATACCACCGTATAAAGCTGTGTTTTTCTCGAGTTGAATATCCAAATATGAAGCAGCTTTTTCAAACTCTGTAGTATCTATCTCAAGCTCACCTGGATATGATATTTGTATTGACATTAGAATTGAAATAGGAATTGTAAATTGATAATATTTTGTCGTTATTTCAAACTGTCGAGTTGAAAGCCACAGCAAGTCTTTCTTCTTCTCATGTATAAGATTTTGAATAAATTCTGCTTCACATGAATACTAAAAACTTTGGTAAGGCATTGTCAATCAGAAACTCGTGCATCATATTATCTTGTGAAAACGAGATATTATCTTGTGAAAACGACTTATTATATTATGTCGTTTTCACAAGATAATAAGTCGTTCTCACAAGATAATATCTCGTTTTCACAAGATAATAAGTCGTTTTCACAAGATAATTTCTCGTTTTCACAAGATAATATCTCGTTTTCACAAGATAATATCTCGTTTTCACAAGATAATAAGTCGTTTTCACAAGATAATAACTCGTTTTCACAAGATAATAACTCGTTTTCACAAGATAATAAGTCGTTTTCACAAGATAATAAGTCGTTTTCACAAGATAATAACTCGTTTTCACAAGATAATAACTCGTTTTCACAAGATAATAAGTCGTTTTCACAAGTCGTTTTCACAAGATATTATCTCGTTTTCACAAGATAATATCTCGTTTTCACAAGATAATAAGTCGTTTTCACAAGATAATTTCTCGTTTTCACAGGATAATTATGTCGTTTTCACAAGATAATTTTTTTCTGTTATTTAAAAAAAAAATAATTGCGTGTCCTAAATATACCACCGTAGCTTTATGATAAACGCGATGACTTTAATTTTTTAATCGTCCACTTCTATTACTTGTGCAGCAAAATAACCTGGTTTATATCTCTGAGTTGATTCAACACGCAAGACCATGCTCTACGTATGAACAAATTCTAAAACGACATGAGTTATTAACGAACAAAATGCTAAAAAAGAATATCGAAAGTTTCGTTAATATGTCATAATTTTGTTAGTTTTATGGCCGATACAATACATGAGAGTTTTCATACTTATTGTTAAGCCGTTATTTTCATACTGAATTGTCGACGGAATTTTCAGTTATTTCCCGATCCCGACAAAACAAGAAAGAACCGGCTGGTGTGACCCGTCGACAGGGGATGCTCACTCCTCAATGGCACCTGATGCAACCTTTGATGTTTAAGAGATTTGTGTTTGCTCTGATCCTGAATTGTATTGTTTGAATTGATTTTTGAGTCTGAATAATTTTTGTTATCTACATATACTAGTAATTCAATTAAAACTGATCTTTACTTTTATGCTATAACTTTAAGTTTCGATAAATATATAAAGGTATCTCTTTTACTTTGTTCACCAGTTCTTTACTATTAATTTACCTTTAACATTATAAGTACTATTTTTATATCTTTCCGTTCACAAAACTTAGAAACTTGGTCTATCTCGGGTATCCTTTATCAAAATTTAATCATCTAGTATTATATTTTCATTTCATTGTGTTCAACTTGAGGAAAGAATAAAAGTATCAAATGTTGATATGCTGATACAGTTGATATGTATTTTATTTCTTAAATATCTTTGATAATGAAAGAGTTGCATACAAATTAAATTCCGGCATTTGGAAACCTTTGGTGTATCCTAAGGTCGAGACATAACTTACATTTCCTCTTCGCGCTTCCGACCTAACACTAAAATTTGA